AAAAAAAAAAAAAAAAAAAAAAATCATCAGCAGTTGCTACCAATGGCAAGGCACTTTCAGCAACATCATCTTGCGTCTTTGTTTGAACGATTACAGTTGTAGAAATTACTTTGGAATTCTTCTTTTATGGATCACGATTATTGTTCCACCATTTTGGATACCCAACAAGTTCAAAACATTGTTTTTTGGTATGACCCATTTTGTTGCAGTGAGTACATTTGTAGGTGAATTTATCAGGTCTTGTTTGATCCTTGTCGATCTTGATAAGTCCAGTTTTGATAGTGTCAGCTCTTCCTGTTCAAAGTGGTACGATGCACCGCTTCATGAGGAACCAAAAAATAGCCTTCTATCAAACTTGGGTCTGGTTCTTCCACGAACTTGATCAAAAACTTCATAGGATTGAGAAAGAAATATGTGAACCTGTAGTTGTTCCATGGACTTCTAGTATGCTTCAACATCGTCGGGATTCTTCATGACCACTTTATTACAATGGTCCAACTTGTGAAAAAATTTGATCCAACTCCCCAAAATCTATAGATAGTGTTTTTCCACTTTGTTTGGTGTGGGAGGTCTTTTGGTTTATGGAGAAAACTTGTAATTCATCACTTCCATTATAGAAGGTTTTTTAAAAGGTACTCCAAATTTCATGGGAAATGGGTAAGCGTAAATGATGTTTCTTAATTTCTTGGGGCATGGACATAAACAGCCACCTTTTGACCATCTGATTTTCTGCATACCATTTTTTACATCCATCTTCGATCAGTCTTGCCACATATTGAAGTTTCTCCCCTCTCAGTAAGATGCATCTCCATGAGTTGATACCATACATCATAGTTAGATTCAACAAGGATAATTCCTGCATTCAAATACCCTCAGATTGAACAATAACTGGAATCGATTTTGTTCCAAATGATTAAATAATTTTTTTTCCATCAGTTTTTTATTTTTTATTTTTATTTTTTTCCTTTTGTGAATGAATGGGAAAACTTTTGATTCAATTGTTGAGTTTTCTCAAACCTATAGCTCGATACCATCTAACAATTAGGAATTGTACTTTTTTATTTATTCACTCACACATTACATAGACAATACTCGCACCTATTTATAGGGAATAAAATAGCAAGAAAAAGAAACTGATGCAATATTAGGAAAGGATCACAAATTAGAAACGTATATTTTAATAACATGATTCACACAAACTGTGTCGTATGAGCCAATTAAACTGGTCAAAAAGGATGATACATTATCTATCAAGATTGATGAAGGCGTCCACAGCAACGTCTTGCTTTCTAGAAATCCACGTTGATAGGAAGATTTAATATTCTTGCAAAATCTCCTAAGACCATGCCTCTACCTGATCACTTAAAATATTGAAACAAATTTCGAAGGTTAATGAGAACAACAACTGGTTGTTAAAATAACATCCGAAGGTGAATGATACTAGTAAAAAAGCAAATTCGGTAATTAAACGCAAGAAAAATTAACGAAGATGTTGCTTTGGAGAATGTTTCTCAAA